TTAATATTTCAGTGAAGATGTACTATGGAAAAGTGTCAATTGTCATAATCGTTATTTTTGAACTTTTTTGATTTTTTTTAAAGTAAATAGTTAAAATTATGTTTAGTAAAAATGTTAAATTAATATTTCAGTGAAGATGTACTATGGAAAAGTGACAATTGTCATAATCGTTATTTTTGAACATTTTTTAGTTTTTTTAAAGTAAATAGGTAAAAATATGTTTTGTAAACATGTTAAATTAATATTTCAGTGAAGATGTACTATGGAAAAGTGACAATTGTCATAATCGTTATTTTTGAACTTTTTTGATTTTTTTTAAAGTAAATAGTTAAAATTATGTTTTGTAAAAATGTTAAATTAATATTTCAGTGAAGATGTACTATGGAAAAGTGACAATTGTCATAATCGTTATTTTTGAACATTTTTTAGTTTTTTTAAAGTAAATAGGTAAAAATATGTTTTGTAAACATGTTAAATTAATATTTCAGTGAAGATGTACTATGGAAAAGTGACAATTGTCATAATCGTTATTTTTGAACTTTTTTGATTTTTTTTAAAGTAAATAGTTAAAATTATGTTTTGTAAAAATGTTAAATTAATATTTCAGTGAAGATGTACTATGGAAAAGTGACAATAGTCATAATCGTTATTTTTGAACATTTTTTAATTTTTTTAAAGTAAATAGGTAAAAATATGTTTAGTAAACGTGTTAAATTAATATTTCAGTGTAGATGTACTATGGAAAAGTGACAATTGTCATAATCGTTATTTTTGAACATTTTTTAGTTTTTTTAAAGTAAATAGGTAAAAATATGTTTAGTAAACGTGTTAAATTAAAATTTCAGTTTAGATATGTTTTATATTATATAGACACTAACAGGAATATTAACATTAAAATTCCTAAATTCGCTATTATTTATATATTGAAAATTAAAGATGAATTATTTTCCTGTAAATGGTCAATGCCTTGATTTGATTAATCTCGAGATTTCAGCATGAATACATTAATGTCCTCAAATGATAAAAAATTTTACTATTACGATTACACCTTAATCCTCATAGCAGCCGGAAATGTTTTTTAACATAATTTATAATAGTAGACCGATGTATAAATAAAATATTTTTAGGATTAATCTATTTTTTTCTAAAATATTAACTGCGAAATATTTAAATATAAAATCCTGCATCGGTTATTTGTATATCAACTAACTATAATATCTTTGACTTATTTATTTCAATTCTGTGAGTAAATATATTTTAAATATTTATTCACTTTAGTGAACTATCTAAAATTACAAGTTAGAGCTATTGAGATGTATATCTATCACTAAATACATTTTCATGAATATATTTATAAACGAAATAAAAAAAATTTCTCACAAATTTTATAAGGTCGTTATTTTTAATATTTTTGTGACATAGTGGTATATTCTTAATTATTTTTAAATAATATTTACCAAATCAGACATATTTGGTAAAATGGGTGGGAATTTTTTACTTCCCCCCCTCCCCCCAACTTTATACGCAACTTAATATTATGTTAAAATACATTTTTACGCCATATTATTAATGGATATCTGGTAGCAAGCCTTCCCTATAAGACTATATCTTCATAATAGAAAAAACAATATTTACAATACACATTTTTTATTACTATATAATTCTATATAAATATAAATGAATCATTTATTTTGACATAAATTATTTTTTGTATGACAATGTGAATTGCAGGACACATTAGATGCCAAATTAAACGAAGTTTTAAATATAATATCTCGCAATTCTAAAATAATACTATCCGATTGCGTCCCCACGGTTGAGGAAAAGATATATTAGAGATCTGCAGGCTCGGCCCGGGTACAAGGGCCAGGCCGTATATTTTTTAAATATACCCGCGCCGGGCCTTTAAAAATACCCAGGCCGGGCCAAATATTTTAAAGCATTTTAAACGCAATCATTATATAAAATAATTAAAAAATTGTCACATTAATTCACTTATCAATTTCCTAATTCCATTTTTTCGATTATTAGGAAAACGTTTCTAATATTTTTCAAATTAATTAATCAACTAATCATTATTTTAGGTGATATTAAATCAAATTAAAAGCAAAAAAGATTCCTGTGTTATAAAAAATTATTTTGGTCGGCATTGAAATTTCTGTTAAGTAGTGAACTAAATATTTTTGGAATAAATGAACGGCAATTGTATTATAAACGAGAGATTCAGATATTATTACGAAACTAAAATCGTTTAAATTATTAAGTGACTTGTAATAAATTACAAAAGGATGAATGGTAACTTGAAATTTATTCCAGTGAAACCCCTGTACTTCATCTTGAACCCCACTGGCATAATTTTCGGCAAAATTTGCCTGAACGATATATTCTCCTTCATTTAAATTAATTTTAAGAGAATTCATGAATATTGTTTGCTGATTTGTTATGAATGAGTGTAATAGTAAATATTTAGCTTTTCGAAAAGTGTTTTTAAAAAAATTGGAGGCTGATGAAGGATAGTTGAAAGATCTGTACGATCTGTAGTTACCCATTGCTTGTAAGTAATATATTCGATATCACTTGAATATAATATTTCACTTATCATGGCCTTTAAATAAAAATATCCAGGGCATTGAGCATAATCACCAAAAAAGCATTTTGATAATGCTGCGTTACAAATTATTTTTGGCAATATATCCTTATATGTAATTTTAATTAAATCTTCATTTAAGGTAATTTTGGGCAAACTCATCAGCATTAATTTTGTGTTTTGATGAATGGAGCAAACACATATTGAATGGGTACCACTACTGCCAATAAATACATAATTCTTGGGACGATGATCACAAAATTTAGAGAATCCAATTTTGATATTTGAATGAATATCTTTAACTTAAAGATTAATTCTCTTAAATTAAAATTAATTTTTTTTGGACTTGAATCTTTTAGCTATTTTTTATTATAAAAGGAAAATCCCATTTCTCAGGCATCGATCTACTATATTCATAATTGCTATAAAAAGTTTTGACAATAGCAACGGTGACGGCATCTATTGTCTTACCGGGTTTAGGATTCGGCGTTGAAAAAAAACACTTTTTCTTTTATCAAACCTTTTAATTTTAACGCCATATGACATGAAATATTAAATTCTTTTACAATTGTTCTTACTGTCTAATTTGATGGTAATAATGTTAATAATCTATATTTATTTGTAATCGACATTTGTGGGAAATTTATTTTTAAGATATCTAGAATTTCATAGAATTTTTCATCATTTGATGAAGATAATGGTATAATTTTAGTCGTTAAAACTTTTTTTACACTAGATATTTTTTTCTTTGTATATTTCTTTTCACATAAGCATTTTCTTTTAATGGGAAATTCCCCTATTGATTGTAGATATATTAATGTTATCAATAGCCTCTTGATTAATTATATGAGGGGAAGAATCAATATATACATTGTCATTTGAAGTATAAGGAATGTTTGCTAATTTTTGCCGGCATGAAGAGCATAACAACAATCTAAATTGATTGGTAAATTTTTTGGGTCATCCAGGGTAGAATCGTTCTTAGATTCTTGCGATAAGCATGTCTCTGTAGATTAAATGGGTTGCAACATTTTGATATTTTACATTTGAAAACAACTTTTTAGCCCATTACCTAAATTATTTAATAGAATAAAATTTTAATTGATCTACACCTAGAATATAAGTTTTTGCACTCTTCAAATTCCGAATGTTATTGGTAGATAGATGATATAATAAGCTGCAGGCGGTTTGAACTATTTAAAATTAATCTGAACGGGCAAGTTAAAAATATTATGCAGAATGTGAGATCGTTTTAAACAGTTTATTTGTAAAATAATATGCTCGTAAAATATAATCGATAATATGCCTAATAAAATTTTTTTTATACTGCAGCGTTATACATTATCGAGCTGATTAGTCATTCGCTATAGTAGCAAAGTAGAGATCTAAAAAATGTAAAACTTTTTAAGGATGATGGGTGGGGGAGGGGGGGGGCAGAACTGGAAAATTTTATCACATTTCTTATAAACGTGTCAATATTTTCATTTTTCGAATAATATTTTTTTCCAATTTTTGGTAAAAATGTATATTTCGGAAGTCGATAGCGTCGCCAAGATTTTGACATCGTATATATATTTATAAATGGGTATAAATAAAAAGCAAAAAAAATAAACAAGCTCCCCTTTTTGCTCAAAAATACAGGTAAAGCAATATAGGTAAACCGAAAGTTACAGACTCAAATTAGCGCCAATTTTTATTGTTTTTTGATAAGCCCTTAAGAGATTTTTTTACCTACAATATGATATATTATTTTTTTTTACTATAAATAGTTTTTGAGATAAGCATTTAAAAAAAATTTCAGATTCCAAAGTGGCTCTTTTTTGTACCTATGAGCCCATATATCTCGAGAACCAGGTGTGCTAGTTAGCTAAAATAAACGGCTTCCTCATTTTTTTTTACCTATCTAAATATTTCCAGAAATTTTTAACAATTTTAAAACGAGTCGGCCGAATCGTAATAGATTTGAGGTGGAATGGCTCACCCTCAATATTATAGTATACTTTTAAAGGGAAAAATTAATTTTAGATAAAAATCATTTTATCTCTTTAATTCAGACAATCACGTATGTTGCCAAAGGGAGCGCAAAACTGATATTTATATAAATGACTATATTAAATTAAATAAGGAACAGCAAATAAGGGAATTAATCGACTAGTCGAATAGACTTTTACGACAAATGGGGAGATAAAATAATTTGCAGTTATTATATATGGATTTCATATTCGCTTAAAAACGATCCGTAAAATGCCAAAAAGTATTTTTTTAAAACCAAGGCCGTAAAAAAAATTTATAGACCATGGCCGAAATAATTTTTTTAAATCCGGGCCTGGTCGTGCAAATAGCACATCTGCAGGTCTCTGCTGTTCAATATTCATACCATTCATAAAAAATTGCGATTATAATACTTTCATACCAAATTATAGCTCACCATCAAATATTTGAATCTAGGATTAAGACTCCATGGCAATAGGGTTTTCTGGCTACAACAATTGGCATGCAATTTTGACCAATCTATAATTTCGATCATCTCAACGCACTCTTCTGGAAATTTGGCATCAAAAATGATATTTTTATCGTATAATTTGGCTAAGCGAAGAAACTCCGAAAATAAAGGCAGGTTTTCAGCGGATAACAAGGCAGAAGCTTGAGGTGGTAGACGATAAGCATTGCTAAAGGGATCTTTCTTTGGAAATTTAAAAAAAAAATTATTTTCCATATATAATTCGTGAATCTTGGACAGGACTTGGAAGAGTCCTGCCCTGTCTTTCAAGAAAGACCGAAAAGAAGGAATGACAAGAATAATTAATAATAATTTTTAAAATGTCAAAAAATATCCTTAAAAAATTAAATGCCTTAAAATCTTTTAAGAATTAAATATAATTCAATGATAATATTTATTATTAACTTAGACTGATAATTCATTCATGTAACTGCAATAATAAGTGTAAATACCAGAAAGGTCATTAGGAAAGGGCGCACAGGGGCTCAAACCCCCTGAGAAATATAAACAGCTCCTTGAACGAAATTTTATTTTTTATTGGTAATATCTATTTTATTTTCAATTTTTAATAATCGCATAATTTAAAAAAAAATATATTAAAAATTATATAAAAAAAATATATATAAAATTTTATATAAAAAATATTTTAAAAAACCTTAAAAGAGAAACGTGTCATCCTAGAAAGTAGTGAATGCTCAAGAAATTGAATTGGCATATTTCCAGCAGATTTCGAGAGAAATATGCTGGAGAAAATAGATTACTTCGTTGGGATCATCTGTAATGAGTCACCTTTTTTAGCTTTGATAAAATTGAGAGCCTCCTTTCCCAACATCCTATTGTGTAAGTGACTATTGTTAAAAACTGTGTTCGTGAAGTCAGCATATTTTTTTTAAACAACTTCCGCCTTTTTGATGGCAGAAAATGAGATTAGATTTCAGCAAAATCAATGCAAGTGTAGTCCCAGGTCAGTGGGAGACCATTCGTGCAAGGAATAAGGGATATGCTATCCGGGCAAGCCAGAGTGTACATTTTTTATCGATTGATTTTTTTTTAGAAATTATTTTGATTTAATATTTCTTTCGAAATTTTATATAACAATCCTAATTAAATAAAAATAAATAGAATTATTTATTAATTAAAAATAAAATTTAATATTTTGCTGTGTGAGCGTAGTATTAAGTATTACATAACAAATTTACCACTAAATTGAATATTACTCTTCTAATATGAAATTCAGAGACATCCGAAAATCTTTATTTCAACCGCTTAATAATAATAAACCTAAAATGCTGACCAACAATGTCATTTTAAATATAGTAAGTTTTATAAATTTTAAATTATATTTATTTAAATTAGTTAATAAAAAAAGAGAAGTAAAATCTGACATTGAGAATGTGAGGGATTTGAATAAAGCAATAGTATATGCACATTAGTTCCCACTTAAATTAAAAAAACCAAATACTCTAAGCAGCAAAAACAATCTTAAATTAGTTAGCATCACAAATAATTGACAGGTTATTTTATTGTCAAATAGAAAATACATATTATTGCTCACCTAAACAAAAATCTTTTACTTAGCATCACAAATAATTGACACACAATTTTTTTTTGGAACATTAAAAATTTATTAGAATTAATTATCATATAAAATATAAATATATTGAGTTAATCATCATATAAGATTTATTAGAACCAATCATATTTGATTATATGAAATTTTGAACAAATATTGGAAAATATAAAATATTAAGAGCGAATATAATACGGTTAAAAATTATTATAGCCATATAAACCGGTATGTATATCACAATAAATAAAAAATTAAACGTTTTATAATAGATATTAAAAAGTTGATAAAAATATCCTACATAAATAAAAATTTAATCTTCTTTGCGATTGCGCCAATTTTTTTAATATTTGTTCTGTGTTAGGGATTAGATCTCGATGAGTAAAGCTAGTCTCAATCAATTTTAAGATGTCGTACTTTTGATATAGGTTTTTATTCTCTGTAATGAAGAAAAGGTCCTCTCATTTGTGTACTAATTTACTAACTGATATAATTGTCAAACAATACTTCCACTGTATTTCTTGGTGGATTATCTACAAAAATGAATCTGCCATACCATTTAAATTCTGAAATTAATTGGCCCTCAGATATAAATATATCCTCTGAATAAAATTTAGCTAAATATTTAATTCAATATCAAGATTTGATATATCCTCATCAGAGGGAGTTATGAGATATGGTATGTAAATTGGATAGTCATTTGATAAATCACAAATAGTTCATTGATTTGAGTCAAAATATTCAAAAGTGGAATAAAAATTTATTATCAATTGATTCCACGTTAATATTGGAACGATTTGTTTGTCGGTAAAGTCGAGGCTTGTTAATATCAAAATCTTATAATTTCGCTTTCATCTCAACAATCATATAAATCTCTAGAAATTCCTGGTCAATATTATCTCTTGGAGTTATAATATAATAATATTCGCGATTTTCATAACTTCTGCCAAATCCATTTTTTTAAAAAATATTGCATAAAATTGTTGTGTAATAAATAATTTATTAATACATTAAAGGAAAAAATCAGCAGTCATATTAAATCTAATAATGTATCAGCTGATGAAATATTTTCAGGTGATTCTGATGTTTCTCTAAGAGCATACCAAATGGGCCCTTCTAGATCCAAAATGTTGTAACAGCTTGATGTCGAAAGCTACATCTTGTCGTGCAGGTTTTTGCAGCTTCTTTTTTCCTATAGCATAAGAAGTCTTAGAAATAATTATATTCAGCAAATTCTGTCTATTTGGATATCTGAACATTTCATACACTCTAGAAATTTTCTAATTATAGTTATTAGTAGATATAAATTAAAAATAATTTTTTTTGGATGGTAAAATTTCTTATATATATCAGTGTTTAAGATTTAAGAAATAATCAATTTTAAACTTTCGTGAGATGAAATATTAATATACCAAGAAATAAATATTTAAATTAATTTTAATTCAATATCTAGAATAGAATATAACCTAATTGAAATAGAATCCTTTGCAATTCACAATTCATGAAACCCTTTTATATATTTTCAAAAATTCTTTCTATGGGGTATGAGATTTATTCCCCTCTCCTACCCCCACCCCGTTGGATATATGCCTGAGTCCTTTAATATTTTTTCAAAATAAATTGCTATGGGGAGGAGGAGGGATTTCTCAACCCCCACCGACGCTAGCTTCGTGCCTCCATACTTTCTTTTCAAGTCCTATTATCCATCATAACAAATTTATTGATTTGCAATTACATTTAGTTCCACACACTGGGGATGCCATATTAACCCGTTACTGGTTAACGGTGCATATATGCACCACCTCCTATATACCTTATTTTAACATAGTAGTTTTTTTTTTAAAATTAATAAAAAAGATTTTTATATAGTTCAGACATTGTACTTCAAAACTGGAAAAGAAAAATATGAAAAAAATATTTTTTTATGCCCCTAAGAAACCCTCAAACTTTGCGAATTTATGAGGTCTAAAATGCAAAATTTTCTAAGTGATCTCACGAGCATATTATAAAATTATTTCGATGAAAACTAGTGTGTATATATTCTTTATAGATATATCAATATTTATCAATCATTTTTGAATTTTTAAATAATTAATATTTTAGTAGGTAACCACATAAAGTTGACTGGTGCATATATGCACCGTTAACCATCTAGCAGTATATATTATTTAAAAAAATTCAAACAAATGAAATTTAACATAATGAATTATAATTTTTTATATTATACTTAAAACCACTACCGTCACTAAGGGTGGGAAGGGGAGGGGTGGGTGGCTCGAGCCCCTTAAGAATTTTTAAAAAAAATTTTATACCCAAAAAAGACCTTTTGAAAATAATTTAAAAAAATTTTTTTCCCCTGAGATTAAATCGAATAATATATTGTTCCTATTATAATTTTTTATCCCGATCAAATTTTATGAAATTATTAGGTTCATAAATATTCAAAAGTTTAAAATTATTTTTAGCCTCTTCCTTTCTGAAGATTTTATTTTATTTATATAAAATATTATGCACCTGTTTTGTCAATTCAATCAAAATTATCAAAATAATAGATGACTAATAAAAAAATCAAGATTCTACGAAAATAATTTGTCTAGATATTTAATTTTTAATAAATTTTTTTAATGAAACGTTTTCTAACAATTGAACAAGCGCTTGCTCAACTTTTTGAAGAGGAACCAATTGAAGAAAGAGATATGGTTATAATTCCGCCAAACCCCTCTGCAGTTAGTGATGAAGAAGATTTCGATGAAAATGACTTAACAAATGTCGGAGTTTTGCCTTCAGATACAGCTGGAGAATTGGAGATTCATAATTCAGTTGATGACGACCTTCCAGAACCATATTCTACAAGAAGCTATTCTCGAATTTCTCACAATTTAAAATGGAGAAAAACGGATGCAATATATTCTTCAAGCCCTTTCAATGGAGAAAAGGAAGATGTAATAAAACTTGAAAATGATTTACATGGTAAAAGTCCATCAGATATATTTTGTTTAATTTTCGACGAAGACTTATATTCCCTAATTGTAGAACAAAGTAATATTTATGCTAAACAAATGAATAGACCTAACATATGCATAACCATCCAAGATATTCAGAGATTTATTGGAATTCTATTATTTACTGGATATCATTCTCTCCCACAAGAAAGAATGTACTGGTCTAATGACAGCGATATTTCTATTCCAATAATCCGGGATACAATGACCCAATTACAATTTCGAAATTTCAAATATAATATCCATTTGGCAGACAATACTAAAATAGATATCCATGATAGATTTTATAAAGTTAGGCCTTACATTAATATATTGAATAATAAATTTCAGCAATTCGGAATTTTTAAACATCATTTATCAATAGATGAACAGATGATACCATATCGAGGAAGACATTCTTGCAAAATGTTCATAAAAGGAAAACCAATTAGATTCGGATACAAGTCTTGGATATTGGCCTCTTCCGACGGTTACGTATTCTCATTTGATATATATCAAGGAAAAAGCGAAAATAAATATGAATATGGATTAGGTGGAAATGTAATCATAAAATTATTAAAGGCATTGCAAAAACCAAATTATCATAAAATATATTTTGATAATTTCTTTACATC